TGTGATGTACTAATTGAATGTTTAAAAAATACATCATAGAATAGAAATATAGGGCCGGTGCTGTGGAATAGCGGGTAAAGCCACCACCTGCAGTGCCAGCATCAGATATGGGCACTGGTATGAGTCCTGGCTGCTCCACTTCCTATCCAGCTCTCTAATATGGCCAGGGAAAGCAGTAGCAGATGGCCCAAGTCCTTGGGATCAGCGCAGCTCCAGCCTTTGTGGCCAATTGGGGAGTGAACCAGCAGATAGAAGACCTCTCTCTCTCTCTCTCTCTCTCTCTCTCTGCGTCTCTTTCACTTTCTATGTAACTGACTTTCAAGTAAAATAAATAAATCTTTGAAAAGAAAGAACAGAAATATATAAAACTGATGATGAATGTGAACAGGTCTTTTCTCAGGTTTGACTTATTTCTTTATGAAATTATTAAGACTTTAGGGAAAGGTATGTTTAATGTAATGAATGGAATAAGGAACTAACAGAGACCTAGGAATTGGCCTTTGATTTTAAATATTCTGACTAACCTTGTCAATAAAAATTATAAACCTAAAAAAATTTTAAAATGATGGTATACACAGATATTCCTTTACCATTTTTCTTTTGATTTACAAGCAGTTGTATAAAGAATTATGTTATTGGATTTCTATGGAATAGAAATATAATATATTTGATAGCAATAATACAAAGAAGATGGGTGGGAACAAAGCGATAGTGACTTAAGGAAATGACTGCAGGTGATAATTGAAACCACAGGAACAAATGAGGATCCATAATTAAAAGAAGGCAAATACAAGGAAATTCACCAGCACATACTTGATTTGCTTTCTGCTCTCAGCTTCTTTAAAAGGCATACAATGAACCAATTAAATTGTTTTTATTTTGACTTTTTTAGGTTTATTTTTTAAATTTTATTTGTTATACAAGCTCCATGTATTTCCTACAAACAGTCAGGAACATAGTGATACTTCTCATTCTACTTCCTGTTCATGCTCCCACCCTTCTACCTCCTCCCTCCCCTATCCCCTCTCTTAATTTTTACAAAGATCCATTATCACTTTACTTTATATTCACAACCTTAACCCTACACTAAGGAAAAAATTCGAAAAACAGTGTGAAGAAAAAAACAGAAATTTTTAAAGGAATATGATTATAAAAGTTGTAATTACAAAATAATGAAATGTGTTTGTAATATCTGTAGATATGAGTATATAAAGCAAAAAATGTCAAGAAGGGGAAACCTAAGAAACCCACACAAAATTACAAATCCCTCCCCACAAAAAAACGTTTTTAATGTTTAAGGAGATGGAAATGCTAAATAACCTGATTTGATCATCACTCACTGAAACATTTATCAAATTATCACACCTCACAAATATATACAATTAAAATAAATTATAAATTAAAAAGAAAATATAGTTATTTTTGTAAAGAAATTGTTAGTTTAAAATAAATTAATACCTAATTTTCTGTTAAACAAACAAACAAACAAAAAAAAACAAAGACACCCAGTGGATGAGAGAACCCAGAGATAGTACCAAACACTACATTTTCTCCTCTATAAAGGAACTTCAAAAAGATTGTGAAAATTTTAATATAAGTTTATTTTAGCACACAAAAAACTGGAGTTCATATAAATGAAGGGTCTTCAAAAAGTTCATGGTTCATGGAAAAAGTGTATGTTCATGGAAAAAATTATTGATCTCAAAACATTTTTGTACCAAATTAGGCAAATCAACAAGGAAACAGAACATATGAACAAAAACCAACTAAATATTACAGGTATCTCTAGAATAGACCACGTAACATAGCAAATACACCTTCTTCTAAAGTACACATGAAATATCCTGGATATGCCAATTTTATGTCATAAAACAAACCTTAATATGTAACAGATCCAATACAAAGTGATTTTCCCCAAGTCTAATGATTTATTTAATTCATAAGTGATACTCTTCTTTTTTTGTTTGTTTGTTTGTTTGTTTTTTGACAGGCAGAGTGGACAGTGAGAGAGAGAGACAGAGAGAATGGTCTTCCTTTGCCGTTGGTTCACCCTCCAATGGCCGCTGCGGCCGGCGCGCTGTGGCCGGCACACCACGCTGATCTGATGGCAGGAGCCAGGTACTTATCCTGGTCTCCCATGGGGTGCAGGGCCCAAGCACTTGGGCCATCCACCACTGCACTCCCTGGCCACAGCAGAGAGCTGGCCTGGAAGAGGGGCAACCGGGACAGAACCCGGTGCCCCGACTGGGACTAGAACCCGGTATGCAGGTGCCGCAAGGCAGAGGATTAGCCTAGTGAGCCCCGGCGCTGGCCTAATACTCTTCTTATTTACTACTTAACTAATCACACACAGAAAATTCACTGCCAGTTTACACTACTCAAAAGCAGGCACAGAAATTAAAACTCTCTAATACTAGGTCAAAATCATTTACAATAGGCTCCACAGTGATACAGTTTGATGATGTTATCTAGGGAAAGAATTAATTAATTTACTTCAGGGCCCATATATTGACATAAAGCTCAGAATCACTGAGACAACTGACAGACTACTACAATTATACTAAGCTGCAAGAAATTTGAGGCAAAAAAGAGATACTGTGTTATTACACAACTTTAAATAGTTTAAGCTTCATGTATGATACAAATCAAAAGTCAACTAATTACTATATACAACATACCTTTTCAATATGGTAGCCCTCTACTCCTTAACTCACTCTGTCATATATTTTACTATAAAACTTGAAACTAATGTGAACCTCTCTGCTTCTTTTCCCATCAAAACTCAATCTGATCCTTGCCTCCTTCTCTGAATTCTGTGTATTTCTAAAGAAAATTGATTATTAAAATGTTTGCAAATGCAATCTATCAGAGTGGTATTATACTTCTAGAATGCACAAGCTGAGAAAATGTTTTGTTTTCATGAATGACAATGTCCATTAAAACAGGCACTGCAGGTTAGGAACTTAATAAAATATTTCTTCATGTAATACTCTAAATTTGACAGTATTTCCCTTTAAAAGTTCTGGCTATGATGTAGGCAACTCTATTGTGCAGTGGACATACTCTGTATCACACGGATATTTTTGTACAGAAAAAGGTGACACAGAGCTATTGCTTACTTTCACTGTTGTTATAAAAGGATGTGACAAGAGCTAGCCATATAACACATTACTAAGTTTGCAAAGCTGTTAAGGACATTCCTTTCTGAATGGAAGAATTATATAACTGCTTACAGTTCACTTTTTTAAGTTACCAGCAATTTTAACATTTCACTATAGCAAAACTGGATTAGCATTTTTATGTCTGTATTTCCTCAGTTTTTTTTTTATCTTTGTCTTTTACTTATTTATTCATTATTTAAAATCATTTTATTAGTGCTTGAAAAATTTAAACTCCAGGTATTTAGTGTAAAAAGGCAAAGAAGTATAAAAAAGGCAGGTTGCATATTAATTAAACATCTGAATAACAAAAACAGTTCCATGCAAAGTCTACATATGGCAGAACCATAACTCAAACCTAACAAAAGGACCAAGGAAAGCAAAAATGGCTGAACTAACAAAAATACATTTCTAAGACTAGTGAAATAAATAAAACAAAATGAATAAAAGAGTGTAGCAAGTAATGTCATAATGACATAAAATTAATAACACTATTGTAAGTATTAAAATCACTGGGAACAGATAGATCTTCTAATATGATTAAATTCAAATTGTTATTTATTTATTATAGAACATTTATATAAAAAGCAATTATCAATGTAAAAATACAAGAAAATAAAGATTACTTTAATGCTTAGTACCCCTCTAATTATTTAACACTAAGTTTAAAAAAACCACTTCAACACAAGACACATACTCCTTCACATTTATACAAACTTTTACTTATATTGTATAAATCTCAGTTCCAAATACTTAGGAATGTCACAATTCCCAACATGATTTAAGTAAAATCCAAACATATTTCCCTAGCCAAGTGTGCTGTTCATTATGTGAATACTCAATCCTAACTCAATAAGGCCTCATTTTCAAAGTTAAATAACAGGAAGAATATGATAAATCACAATGAGTTTTAAAAAATTATGATACTCACTACTGTACTCTTTTCATTACTGACAAGTAGAAAAGCAAACATACAAGTTACAATTGAGTAACTTCAGCCATACATAATATTTTATATTATTTTCCTTTAGAATTATTTTCTCTTTAATTTTTATTCATATAAAGACAATATATTTCATTTTTATAGGTAAAATTCTAAGAGCATAAACATATTTCCCTTTCTCCTTCTTTCTCTCCCTCAATCCCCTTCGTCATTCTTTCTCTTCAATTTTTGCAAAAACACAATTTTAATCCATTCAATAATCACAGGCTGAATGCACCACTAGCCATAACTTTCAAGAAGTAGAAAGTCCACAGTTCCAAAGAAGTATAAATAAGGACCAAAAATAACAATTGAGTCACAAGATGTCCATTTCATCCCTAATTTTTTTTGTATTTATATTTATTACCACATATCTGAGAATATATTTGTCCTTTTAGGACTGGTTTATTTCACCAAACATAATGGTTTCCAGTTGCATCCATGTTGTTGCAAAAGACAAGATTGATTCTTTTTTTATGCTTGAGTAGTATAAACTGTGCTATCAAAGTTACTTAATCTTTTCAATAAGAATTTCATATGTTCATTATATAATGCATACATTTCAAAAATTGAGATTGTAAATACCATATTAAACCATATAATTCTGAAAGATTTATTACTTCAGAATTATAACAAAAGACAAATCTTCAAAATTAAAAAACATTCTCAAAAATAAAAAAGTACATGAAGGGAAAATAATTAAAAAGAGAGAAAGCACATTTTAAACTAAGAGAAACATAGTGACAACTGACTGAGTTTCAAAAAACAAACATGACTCTTAATCTACACCAACGAAATAAATTGTCACATTTTACATATAAAAATTCCCATAAATGTTCTAGTAAAATGATTATTACTACCTTATATCCAGGTCCTAACTGATGAATTGCAAATATCTGTGCTGGATTAAGTGCTTCACTGAACACATAAACCGCACCAAGTTGACCACAAAAGACCCTATTTGCATCAGCAGTTTCTGAAGATCCAAGAAAGCACTTGTCATAGCTCTGTGTTTAAAAAGTTATAAAAAAGAACAAATCATTATTTTGTAATAACAAAACATGTAAGTACATGTGCCTTCATTGTCATGAACATAACAATAAAACATAACAATAACAGATGAAAGCATTAGTTAAAACGTTAATGGAGTGTTTAAATAATAAAAGCCAGTAAAGATTTTTGTGAAAATTAGTTAAATGATTTATATTTGGAATTTAGCACACAAATTACCATCAGATTTTGCCACTTTCCAAATTCTATCATTAAAGGCAATAAATGTTTTAAAGGTATAGAAACTTAAAATGTTACTAAATGCATCTATTTATATGTATTACTATCCTGGCTTTTTCACTTCCTGGAGCATTATCACAAATAACTAAAAACTCTAAGTCTTTTTTCTTAATATTCTGTTTTACCAACTAATCATAGTCAACAAGACCACTGGAGTTTCTTCTACTCTAAAGTAAAAAGACTGTATCCTCTGAAGGACAAATAAAAGCAGAATTTCATTTGTATATTCTGTTAAAATTGCTCTTTTACTTATTGATTATGGTTCCACCGTTTGTTCCAAGTCAGGAAAAGCAATCTTTTCCTGTTAAGGTACAGAGAGGAAATATTTGAAACTTTACAAGCCACAGGTGGTATCTATGGTATATTCTTTAATTTTGTTTGTGTACTAAAAATAAAAATGAAATCTTTAAAAATGTAAAAATTAAGATTATTAGTTCCCAGGTGTTACAGAAACAGCCTGAAATTTTTATGTGGCCAACAAGCTATAGTATGCCACTCAGTGATACAAGGAACAAACTATGGGATACAAATACACAGTGCTAATTCAAAGAGTGCAACACAACAGCCAATCCCTGCCCTTCGGGAGACTAAAGTCTAGAGAGATGCAGACAAAACTGAGAAATAAAATCTATAGGCTGATGTGTTTTTAAATTATAAGCAGGTATCACATGTCTGCTCAAAACTTTTCAAGGATTTTTATGAGGGTATGATGGGAAAGCCTCAACTTATGTTTACATGAAAGGTCCACATGATTTGGCCCTCAACTACTCCTAATCTCAACAGTATCATCTTTCTTCCCTGTGCTCCAGACACACTGCCTTGCTGTTCCTTGAACTTCTCAATTCTGCTTTGAAGTGTTTGTACTTACTGTTCCCACTGAATGGAGTATGTACCCCAAATATTCAGATGGTTTGCTTCAGTTCTAACTAAAACCATCTCTGGTCAATCTAGTTTCTACCAAATCTACATTCATACTTTAAATATCTATTCCCCATTTTATTTTTTTGACAGCATTTATCACGATGTGACAAATAACAGTGATTATCTTGTACTTATTCATTCTGTTTAAAGTCTTTCTTCTATGCAAAATAAAGACATAAAACATATTCCTAGTGTTTAAGATTCTGGAAAGAATAAAATATGGTGCTTAAGTTTTGGTGCCAAAAATACTCAATAATTTGGCCAAGTAATTTTTTGCAGTATTATTTATGTAGGTTGGCAATTTAATTATACTAAATTTGACTTAAAGATGAACTTAATAAAAATAAACCTTCAAAGGAAAATACAGACAATTTTTCCCAAGTATATTATTATTCAATTCATGCTGCAGTGATGCATCATATTCTCAAATACATTAAAACACAGATTAAATTTTTTTAAAAAACTTACATCATTTGTGTTAACATGCCAAGCCATATCACCGTAGGATACCAGCTGTCCATTAACATAACACCGAATTTCACTGTTCCTCCATCGATTGTAAATATGGACGATGCTGATCATGTACCACTTTAATAAAAATAATTTAAAATATTATTATATGATGATTAGATATTAGTGTCTATGCAACAATGACATTCATAATACTAATGAAATGCTTCAATGACTATTAATGATCATCAACTATCATTTCTTCAAGTCCTCTCGCCCTCTTTATTTCACAGATGAAAAAAGCGACTCCTGAAAAACAATGTGGATACAGAACCAGAACCCTTTTACCCCCAGAATGATACTCCTCTTCAAATATACTATGATTCAAAGTTGTTGTAAGTACAATGATATTCGCATTCATTCACACCAACATTTACATTACATTGTGCCAGGTACTGCAGATGCCCAAGGCTGAGCAAACAGACCAAAGGCTCAGTTCTGGTCAAAGAGACACAGATGAAACAAACAAAAAAATGCAGAATTACCAATCATTCTAATTATAGTGGAAAAAAAACAACAGCATAAACTGAGAAAGCATAACCTATGATTTGACTTTGGATTGCCCAAGCAAGACAAACCTGTCAAAAGGTTTTAACATTTATACTAAGATTCTAGTAGTTTCATTTCCACAAATTAGATTCATTAATTCTACTGTTCAGTATGTGCTTTTTGCTTCATAATGTGTGAATATTCATTAAGAATCAATACATGACTTTATCTGGTTTCCATATTACACTTAAAAATGGTGTCAACAAAAAGCATTTTAAGTATCAACTTTGATAAGAGATGAAGTTTTCTAACAATTACTGGATCTAATTTTTAGAGTTTTCAGAATTCAAAGCCTAAAACAGCGAACACAGAAATATTTTTAAAGTATAGAAAAATGCAGGTAAGTTAATTTATAGGTATTTGAACAAATATGATTTCATGAGTTAAGAAAAATTTGATATGTTTGTTCTCTCTTCCAAAAAGTAAAATAAATGCAAGCATTGTTCTACAGATTATTTTAACATATCAACTTCATATTAATGTATTACTTCATATAAATCTGAGAATTATAAACCTACAGTAACTCTCAGTCACTATGATATTAGTTATTTCAAGGTGCCTAAAATATTGTGAGCAAAATTCAGTTTTATTCATTTCAATGTATAAAAGAAAAATATGCACTAAGCAATGCAGAGAAGGCAGAAATACAAAACTGTATCCTTAACTATAAAAAAAGTCAGGTCAAACACTTTAAATGCCTAACATACGTGCTTTTTTTCCCCACAAGTTGCTTCTTTCTAGATAATATTTAATGTACTGCTAACTGAATTATTTACTTGACATGAAAGTAACATGTATGCTGCTTCTGATTAAAATCAAAATAGAGGGGTCCAGCATTAAGATATGGGGTTACAATTGCCACTTGCAATGCCAACATCATGTATTGGAGTGCTGGTTCAAGTCCTGGTGTTCCACTTCAGATCCTGCTCCCTGCTAATGAGCCTGGGAAATCAGAAGAGGATAGTCCATGTACTTGTGTTCCTGCTACCCATGTGGGAGACTTGGATGGAGTTCCTGGCTCCTAGTTTTGGACTGGCCCAGCCACTGCCAATGTGACCATTTGCAGAGTGAACAATAATATGAAAATCTCTCTCTCTCTCACACTCCCTATTTATCTCCATCATTCTGCCTTTCAAATACAGTTTTTAAAAACTAATAATAAAATTAGAAGAGGAAAATCTTTACTTATTAAAACATTCAATTTCTAAGTATTATATTAATTACCAAGACATAGAAACTGAGCTTAAAACGCTGTAAAAAAATCTTAATGCACTTTACATGTATAAGAACAAAAATTTATGTATATCAACTCAGCTGGCTTTTTAAACAGTCAACCAGATGGTCATCTAGGTAACACAGTCACTACTACATATTTTGAAGCAAAACCTTTAGAAATTTACCAGTCTTTAAACAGAATAGAAGACTGCCTAAATATAAACAAGGACTTCCTGCCTGAAGGAATTTTAAGATAAAAGATATATTATACTTGACATATCTGATGCAGAAAATTGATCATTCAACAAATATTTATACATTTGTTACTATTCAAGATAATTTTTTATACTGGGCAAAAATATATGCTTCATCTGTACGCACATAAAGACAGCAAGATTTGGTAGAGATCAAACATAAAAGCAGTGAATATCTTAAAAAAAAGATTCAGAGACCGGCGCCACGGCTCACTAGGCTAATCCTCCGCCTCACGTCGCCGGCACACCGGGTTCTAGTCCCGGTCGGGGCGCCGGATTCTGTCCCGGTTGCCCCTCTTCCAGGCCAGCTCTCTGCTGTGGCCCAGGAGTGCAGTGGAGGATGGCCCAGGTGCTTGGGCCCTGCACCCCTTGGGAGAGCAGGAGAAGCACCTGGCTCCTGGCTTCGGATCAGCGTGGTGCGCCGGCTGCGGCGCACCGGCCACGGCGCGCCGGCCGCAGAGGCCATTGGAGGGTGAACCAACAGCAAAAGGAAGACCTTTCTCTCTGTCTCTCTCTCTCACTGTCCACTCTGCCTGTCAAAAAAAAAAAAAAAAAAAGATTCAGAAGCAAAAGAAGTAAAGACTGACATAAAACAGAGAAAGGAAAGAGAAACAGGGTAAAAAGATTACCACATGAGAATTCACTAGAATTGAAATGTAATACTAAGTATGAAAAATAAAAAGGAATTTTTGAATAACTGAACACAGAAGAAAGAAACCCAACAGGTAAAGAATCTTATGGTACAGCACAGAGACTTACAGAAATGCTTCTCAGTGTTGTAGTGAGGAACAAAAGACCAGAATGAAAAGAGATCTGTGATACACTTTTAGGAACTTGGCCTTTGTGAGTATATAAAACACAAATAAAAGCAGTAAAGTACAATGATCACCTCCACAGTTTAGGAAAATACCTGGCAGTGGAGGTGGGCTAGTTATGCACGTATGAATACAATCAAAAATTACCAAAAAGGTTTAGCTAAGAAGCCACGTGAGTCTGAAATAGCACAATGGTGTTGATAAATGTAAAACAAAAGAAAAGGGAATAACAGAACTAATTGGAAGCACTGACAAATAAAAGGGGGTTTTAAGATAATTTCCAAATTTTCACTTAATTTGGTAGTGGTACTATTAAGATAATTAAAATAGGAAGATGATCAGGTTATGGTTATACAATTCACCACAAATGGTAAGGCAGCAGTCTTACGAGTAGGAAGTAGTCCGTCCTGATAATCTTACTGACATATACCACAGGAAGTCCCCTGAGCCAGGAAGCAGCACAAGGACTCAAACATGCAGTTAACTTGCCCTCATCTACATCTGATGTTGTTTCCTTCAGTCTGGACTTCCAGATGGTTGGCTACTCTGACACAAAGATGGATTCTGGTTAATAGGCAGGAACATTGATCTAGAAAATTCCAGCTGATGACATATGAATTTATCTTATACATATAATTACACAGTTGCACATTTATATATATCTTCTCTTGCTACCTTTTAATTTAGGATGGCTTTTTAAAAATGTTTTCCCTGGTTTCCACTATTCTATAGTATATTATGTAAAGCTCTACTTCATGGGCCAAAACATTAAGAGTGCAGCAAGAATCCTCTCCTTGAAGCCTGAATTACTGAAACTGCAGAATTAAACAAAATCTTTAATCTCAGAGAACAAGTCAGAATCACTGGGATTAAGTGAATTTCCTTAAAGAAAAGTCTACATTACCCACTCGGGATGTTTACCATTGAACTTTTTAAAAAGAACCAATTATTTATAAATCCATAGCACATGACAAACAGAAACCAACAAACTAGACTGAGGTATGAATCTCTGGTTCTAAATATCATTATAAAATAATTCAAACACTGTTAAAGGAAGGAAGGGGAGAGAAGAAGTAGGGAAGAGGACGAAAGATGAAAAGGCAGAAAAGAGGCCGGCGCCGCGGCTTACTAGGCTAATCCTCTGCCTTGCGGCGCCGGCACACCGGGTTCTAGTCCCGGTCAGGGTGCCGGATTCTGTCCCGGTTGCCCCTCTTCCAGGCCAGCCCTCTGCTGTGGCCAGGGAGTGCAGTGGAGGATGGCCCAAGTACCTGGGCCCTGCACCCTATGGGAGACCAGGATAAGTACCTGGCTCCTGCCATCGGATCAGCGCGGTGCGCCAGCAGCAGTGCGCCAGCCGTGGCGGCCATTGGAGGGTAAACCAACGGCAAAGGAAGACCTTTCTCTGTCTCTCTCACTGTCCACTCTGCCTGTCAAAAAAATAAATGAATAAATTAATTAGGAGAAGGAGGTAAAGCAAAGGAAAAACATGGGGAGATGAGAAAAAAGAAAGGAAGAAAACAAAGAATTGTAATTAAAGTAAAAATTCTTCAAATGTTCAACTAAAATAATACTCTAGAACTGCAATCACAGTAACATAAAAGACTGCCTTTGAAAATGTCTGAATTTGTTAAAACATTTTATACTATTTAATAGATACACAAAATATTATAGATATAACAAAATTTCAAATAATATATTCAAAATGTATGAGTAAAATATTAAATATAATTTTAGCTGAACAACTTATGTAATATATACCAAAGCTCTAGGATCCAAAGAGGATATAAAAGAATGAATCAGTTCTCAGCATTCTAAGAAACCAGGCTTTCCATTATATCTTTGCAAAACACTTTCTCAAAAAGCATGAACTTTCTTTTTATATTCATAGTTAATGCTCTAAATTTCTATGTACAACACTGAGTATTAACTCATTTTTTCAGTATACATTGTTGTACCAGAACAACAACAACAATGACTGGCAAATTTTAGAGTTTACATGGTATCACACAGCAACAACCTGAATTATTTGTCTTTAATTGTCCTGAAGTACCCTTTTCTCTTACTATCACATAGAAAAGGTTCTTAGATAGCAGAGCAGCACTTACCACAAGGCCCTTGCAATCTCCTTTTAATTTATCAATTATAATACCCCACTAATCTCATTTCACTGGGAAATAAACTACTACAAGGTATTTAGCTGTCCAGAGAAATGTAACAAAACTAACAAAAGGCCATATTTTATTCATTTATTCACCATATCTTATTGCCAGTCTACCAGATTCAGTGTTTTATGTGAGACATTTGAGGGAATGCAAAGAGTCACCAAATAACACACATATAAAGGAGTAATAAAGGCTTAAAAAGAGGAATTGTGATTAGAAATTCTAAAATAAAATGCTGTGAGAAAGATTATCTGGAAAAATCATAAATCAGGGATGGATGCCATGAAAATGTTGTTCCATGAAATAGGACATAGAATTGGGGCAGGAGTTGAAGATTTAAGCTCCTGAGGAAGGAACAAAGAAATGTTGTTTGTGCCAGATACCAAAAGAAAAAGAGGAGAAAGAGATTCTAAAGGGGAGGAGGAGTCAAAACGCTAAAAAAGCAGAAGTGTTTTTTCTTTCATTCTCTGTCATATTCCAAGTTTCTAGAACAGTGTCTGATACTCAGTAAATACTCAATGAATTTATGTATATCAACTTAGCTGAATGCCAAAGAGTAGATCAGACTGAGAGACTTAAAGAATGTGAAAGAGGCATACTACAAAAAGTCCAAAGTCTGAACTTACAGAGACAAAATTCAGACACAGAAATAAAAAGATAATTCAGAAAAGGATAAAAGAAAAGCGTTATAAGCCATAGGAAAACCAGTCAAAGAAAATATTACAGAAGTCATAATAGGTGAGTTTTAAGGCAGTCATTTTGAACCGAAATATTTACTTCCACCTACCTTGCGTGGCTGAAAATCATATTTCACACAGTGCTGAAAACCTTTTCCTTTGGATTTCAGTGATGTGACTATTAAACAGTTGCCAACAAAATGAGCAGAGTAACCAACTCCTTTGCTAGTACGGAAACTGTAAAAATTTTAATAACAATATAATAGTTACTCAGACAAAAAGAAACATATCTAATACCTACTAGTCTAAATTATAAAAATAAAACTCATTTTCATAGAATACAAGGAGCTTAACACATATCAAATAAAACTAAAGTCTAAAGTGTTTTTGAACAATCAAAAGAAATATAATTCAAACTTAGAAATAGAAGACTACAGAAGCTTTTAATATTTTAATTTATAATGTTATAAATACATAAAAAATTAATGGACTACAATTATAGGCTTTACCTACATTTAAGGACCACTTCTAACTAACTAGCAAACATAAAGCTCACTTACATATAGCTCACGTTTTCAAAAAAATTTGCCCTCTTTCTGCTATATCTTTGAAAATACCTTACAACTTAAAAAAAAAAACAAAAGTCAAAGCCACGTTTGATAATAATTTGATTAAACAAAGGAGTTTGTTTTAATTAAGAAAAATGATATGACTATTAAATATATCCATTTTCTTACAGAACACTCCTACTAGCTATTAATTTAATTACAATGTAGAAAACACTTCATTTTATCAGTGCTTTACAAAATGAAGTTATTATTGAAATAAACGTATGATTTCCCAAAATGATCATGCTGAAGTTCAACGCCTTTTATGTTTGGAAGCTCAGATGCTTGTCTAGAACTCCCTCATTTCTATCCATACATAACTATCACATGCCTCTACACTCACATTTCTGATTTACTCTTTGTACAAAGTACTTTAAATATTATTCCCTCATTAAGATCTACCTGACAAATACTAATATGATGTTCATTTTACAGTTTAGAATACTAAAGCAAAGGATAAATAATAAGTGGCTAAGACAGTACTTAGGCAATCTTATTTCATGGCACTGCAAGGATTAAATGGGTATGTATAAAGAAATTCAAATGCAATCCATACATTAATGCCATCAATGAATGTGTGATGTTCTTATTAATAAGATGTTTTACTGTGTATTACTAGATACTAATATTATCAAGTTATCAGTCCTTACAGAGCAAACCACTGTTAGGTTAAAGAGCCCATTCTACTAATTATCTATGAAATAGTTATATGCTTATTATGATTTTTTAAACTTTTATTTAATAAATATAAATTTCCAAAGTACAGCTTTTGGATTACAGTGGCTTTAACCTCCCTCACACCCGCTCCCATCCCATCTCCCGCTCCCTCTCCCATTCCATTCACATCAAGATTCATTTTCAATTATCTTTATATACAGAAGATCAATTTAGTATATATTAAGTAAAGATTTCAACAGTTTGCACCCACACAGAAACACAAAGTATAAAGTACTGTTCGATTATTAGCTATACCGTTAATTCACATAGTACAACACAGTAAGGACAGAGATCCTACATGAGGAGTAAGTGCACAGTGACTGCTGTTGTTGATTTAAAAATTGACACTCTTATTTATGGCGTTAGTAATCACCTGAGGCTCTTGTCATGAGTTGCCAAGGCTATGGAAGCCTTTGAGTTCACCAACTCTGATCTTATTTAGACAAGGTCATAGTCAAAGTGGAAGTTCTCTCCTCCCTTCAGAGAAAGGTACCTCCTTCTTTGATGGCCCGTTCTTTCTGCTGGGATCTCACTCGCAGAGAGCTTTCATTTAGGGTTGGGTTTGTTTGTTTGTTTGTTTGTTTGTTTTTGCCACAGTGTCTTGGCTTTCCATGCCTAAAATACTCTCATGGGCTCTTCAGCCAGAACCAAATGCCTTAACGGCTGATTCTGAGGCCAGAGTGCTGTTTAGGACATCTGCCCTTCTATGAGTCTGCTGTGTATCCCGCTTCCCATGTTGGATCCTTCTCTCCTTCTTAATTCTATCAGTTAGTAGTAACAGACACTAGTCTTGTTTATGTGATCCCTTTGACTCTTAATCCTATCATTATGATCAATTATGAACTGAAACTGATCACTTTGACTAGTGAGATGGCACTGGTACATGGCACCTTGATGGGATTGAATTGGGATCCCCTGGCACGTTTCTAACTCTATATTATGATTCTTTTAAGTACATCTCAGTTATGCTCATAGGACAAAACAACAGAAAAGGCAAGTTGAATAATGTCTAATATGACTCTGAATTTTTCTTTCCTTGATCAGTACCAGGAGATCCTAATCACCCTGCAATTGATCTATAATAAAGCAAACTGGACAGAGAAGGTCTGTAACCTTTGACTCTTTAACTGGAAACAAAAATAATGAGGCAGGTCACCTCAACATCAAAATAAATAAATAAAATTTAATTAGCTATGTCTTCATAGTCTTCATATGTGCATGTGATAATATGTTGCCTTGATATCATACATTTACAGAATAAAGTACTGAAAGACCAAAGTCCTAAAACTAAACATATTACTTACCAATAAAGATAAGGTTTATCCTTATCAACATTAATGTTATTTAATGGATCCATACGAAACCAAGTGTTTAGGGTGAAGCCATTCTGATAAGGCCACTTCGCAATAGGAGGCAAAGCAATTGCCTATAATGCAATGAAAAAGACACAAAAGTATCAGTTGAAGGAAATGTTAGTTGATTAAGGTAAAATATGACCTTTAAGGTAAAGAGTGATCGCAGTATAACTATAAAAATCATGATCAAATACAGAAAATAGAAACTATTATCTTATTGAAATATTCTATACATGCATTTTTCTGAATACAGAAACATTATATTTCTAAATACTGACTTTATTAAGTTTCTTCTCTACATTATGAGGTAGGTTTCAGACTGTACTCCAAAAGGTTCCTCTTTAATTTCACCAATATCTGAGAGATTTGGGATATACATATTATGAAAAAATTATGGACAGCTTCTAAGACATCTTGGTACAAAACTAAACATCTTTAAGTTTCATTTTTCCATGAACCTTTTGAAGTCCACTCTTGTAGTCCTTTATATACATGCTTCAGAATTTTCACTTTTTTATCCTTTACATTCATTTGATTAAGGGAAGTTGAACTTCTAGTGCCAGAAATTACTGTGTTACAGAATGTGAATGGAATCAATAATGAAGAAATACAAGTATTAATGATAACATTCTTGAGACTTATTATTCAGAAAGTTAACCATTGATATTTATGACCTAGAAGGATTAAGATCTACTCCTAAGTAAGGAAAGGAATAATTCAAAACTCAGTAGATAGCAGTAGTCAAACAAAATCTAGCCATTCTAAGGAATAAATGAGAAAGTGCATGATTATCTGACTTGATGTCAACAAATATCTGCATGAATGTACTTATTTTCCTAGAAAATAAACAAGTTCCTTAACCCATTATAATTTTATAATCGATGTGCTATATCAAAAACATACTTCCAAGAATAATGGTGTTTATCAAAAATAGCAAGTAGTTTCCATATCAAAAATCCTCTGCATACAGAATAATGTTTAAATTTCTCCAAGTTATATAACAATCTTAATTCTCACTACTGTTCCAACAGCCCATTTCAATTTTTTTCAATCACCTATGTTCCAAAATATACCATATGTTGTTCTTTCACAACCCCTTTTTTATACATCATGTTGCTTTTTCCAAAACACATTCTCCTTCCAGCAAAATCCCAATTATTCCTCAATTCCACATTATGTCCTTCATCTGTGAAATTTTTCTACACTTCAGCATAGCTTGAATTTTCTTTGCATTGTTTTTCTATAATTGTTAGTACCCAAGTCTACAATATCACTTATAACTCTTACTGTAATGAGCTTTTTCTTTCTTTTTTTAAACATCTACTTAACCATTATATTTTTGCCAGAGTAAGGTGCATGATCTACAAGAGGGCTTCAAAAATGTCATGGAAATGGGGAATTTTTCTTTTTTTTCTTTTGCAACACACTCTTCCATGAACTTTTTGAAGATCCCTTGCAGTCCTTCCAGCATTGTGACTTCAGACACAGAAAACATTCAATATGTGGTCAATGAAGAATCTCAAACTAGCCAAGATTTGTAACGGCTTGCTTTTTAAAAAAATTATATATATACATGAAAATACACAAAGGGCACACAACAGACACATACACTACAAAAACAGAGTGAAACCCTACAAACGAAAAACAATTTCTCATACAATGAACTTTCAGATATCAATTTGTTCAAAAAATTTTATTGTGAAACAATGTAACTCCTCTTGATTTTTTAAAATGGGGCATATGTTGTTTATTTTTTTCATTTCTAGTAAGATGCAATTTGTTGTTTTGTTTGCTAGTAAAAGGTTTTGTTTTCTTGCCATGTGTATCACTGGTTAATACCTCTTTAAGTTTCTCTAAATCAGACTGCACTTACTATAAATTGAATCAGAGTACAAAAATACTAAGAAAACATTAATTGAGGATATTGAACAGTAAATGAATCTAAAATGTTAATTTCTTAATTTTTCTGGTTTCAATTTTTTTAAATTTTATTTGTTATACAAGTTTCATGTTTTTCACATACACAGTTTTAGGAACATAAATGACACTTTTCCCCATACCCTTCCTCTTCCTCACTCTAACATTCCCCCTCTTAATTTTTACAAAGACCTATTTTCAGTTTACTTAATGATTGTATAGTTAACCCTACACTAAGTAAGAGAGTTTAAGAAAAAAAGAGTTCCCCTCCCCCATAAAAGGCACTGTTCCTCAAAAGAAGAGACAAGGTCTGTTAATTTCTTATTAATGTCATATTTTCAATCTTTTGCCAAAAGCAATATAATCAATGTTACTTTCACATCCGCAAAGCTAGCTTAAACAGTGCTCTGAGATGTGAAAAAGTATCCTCTTTCCCCGTTATTCCACATACTCATGCAATCTTTTATCCAACACAAATCACCTTAGCACTTTCTGCAACATTTATTTCATTATCCATTCTACTAGATCCTAAATGAAAATGCAAATACTATATTAAACAAACAGAAAGAGAATAGGATTTGAGAAAGGCTACCCTTCCAAGATCTATGCTGAAAAGTGCAAAACACTGAAAAAACAAAGAAAGCCAAACAAAAGAAGACACTGTGTCCTTGAACTGAAAGATTCAAACATATCAAGATAATCTGCTTTCTCCAAATTATTTCATAGATTTAATGTACCACAATCAAATTCATAATAGGATAAAATCTGAGAAGCATATTTAACAATGTATATATAAATATAAACAATCTAGAACAGCAAAACTATTTTAAACAAAAATAATAACAATGGAGTGTTTGCAACCAATTTCAAGAAATACTAACTATATATCTACAATAATAAAAGATAATGTGATATTGACAACAAGATGGAAATATAAGAGTTCAGAAACAGATCCACATAATTCTTCAATTAATTTCTTCAAGAAAGTTGTTAGGTAATCTAAGGTGGAAAGGACTGTTTCTTACACAAATGATTCTGTAACCAATGGATATTAAAACAAAACTGGATCTCAGGGTGGGTGCTGTGGCATAGTGGGTAAAGTCGCCGTTTGCAGTGTTCACATCCCATATGGGTGCCAATTTGAGTCCTAGCTACTCCATTTCCAATCCAGCTCCATGCTAATGTGCCTGGAAGACAAGGGGAGGATGGCCCAAGTCCTTGGGCCCCTGCACCCACTTGGGAGACCCAGAAGAAGCTCCTGGCTCCTGTCTTCAGATTGGCTTGGCTCCAGCCATTGCTGCCATTTGAGGAGTGAACCAGTAGATGGAAGACCTCCCTCCCTCCCTTCTCCCCCCCCCTCTCTCCCCCCTCCCCTCCACCTCTACCTCTACCTCTGCCTCTGCCTCTGCCTCCAACTCTGCCTTTCAAATAAATAAACAAACCTTAAGAAAAAAATGGATCTCCAGGAGAAAATAATTAAAAGGGATCATAGGCCTATATACACAAACTAACACTAGACAACTTCTAGAAGAAAGCACACACCAGAAAAAAAAATGTGAGCTTGGTTTATATTGATTATTCTTAGAGTTTCTAAAAGCACACAGTATGAAAGAAATTAAACTTTTGTATCTTAAGAAATATTGCTAAGAAAATAAAAACATAGAATTGGAGAAAATATTTGATGATGTACATCTTTTTTTTTTTTTTTTTTTTTTGACAGACAGAGTGGACAGTGAGAGAGAGAGACAAAGAGAAAGGTCTTCCTTTTGCCGTTGGTTCACCCTCCAATGGCCGCCATGGCCGGCGCGCTGCGGCCGGCGCACCGCGCTGATCCGATGGCAGGAGCCAGGAGCCAGGTGCTTTTCCTGGTCTCCCATGGGGTGCAGGGCCCAAGCACCTGGGCCATCCTCCACTGCACTCCCTGGCCACAGCAGAGAGCTGGCCTGGAAGAGGGGCAACCGGGACAGAATCCGGCGCCCCAACCGGGACTAGAACCCGGTGTGCCGGCGCCGCTAGGCGGAGGATTAGCCTAGTGAGCCGCGGCGCCGGCCTGATGATGTACATCTAATAGATGAACCTACATCTGAAATACATGACTCTTTGGATAATAAAATAATGAATCAATTTTTTTAAATGAACAGAAGATTTGAACACAAACATTATGGAAGTAGTCATGAGAACTGGCAATAAACACATGAAAAGTGTTCAACATCATAAATCCTGAGAGAAATCCAAAATTAAAATTACATGCCTCAAATTATAAAGTCTCAATATGTCCAGGATGCAGATCAACTGGGACTTTTATATACTGATGATAGGAATGCAAAATTTGGGGAAGTATTGGTATTTTCTAAACTAGAATTAATGTAGTGGTTACATGACTATTCAAAACTCATCAAATTGTACTTTCTAAATTCTGGAACTTTGGTATATGCAGTATACCTTACTAGATTTAACTTATAAATGAATTAAAAAATTACACATATGTACTTAAAACATATGTACTAAACGTATGTACTTACCGCAGCACTACATCCAGGGAAATTGAAAAAAGTATCAGGACCATGTCTTTGTGGCATCTGATTAAGAACTGACAATAGTTTTACTGCATGTCTTGGCTGAGAAAACAAAAAAAGAAAAAAAAGTCAATGTACAAATTTAGCGATAACACCCAATATACTACCCTAGCCTCTGGACTGTTTTCTAACTAAAGCGAAATTTCACCTTAAATTATTTATTAAACTGTTTAAGAGGAATACAATTTCCATTACAATTCAAATATACAGCTCTCTAGAGACATACTGTTAAACATGAAGTATTAATGGACTGATATTGAATGCTGCTCCCTCTGACCACAGCTTACCCAGATTCCACTTTCTCCTCGAAGCATGCTGAACAGAAGCTTCAACTCCTTGACAGTGATGCTGTAGCTGGCAAGAACCCCCAACATATCAACTAGAAGATCTTCAAAGGAAAATAAAGTTATTCTGAACTCTAGTCATGAGCTGCCATCTGTCAAGGTAATACACTTTTTCAAAGAGCAAAAGTTAACAATTGTCATTTATAAATACTTATATATATTTCATATCAATGAAGTTCTCATGAATAGCTATTCTAATTAATAATTTTAAGTCATCACATAATCAAAAATATTTATTTGAATTACTGAACTTTCCTCCTTAGATCTATCAATTAAGCTTTCTTAGAAGATATATAAAATAGATTTCACAAATCTCAAGAACACATACACACATATAACTGCAGTATGCAGAGAAAATGTATAGGTACAAAGATTTACCATTGCATTCTGGTTATTTTCAAGTGAAAAGATTTCAGTTGACTATACTTTCTTTCACAATTATCTACTGCTAATAAAATATTTTTGAAGTATTCCTTAGCCCATTAACAACAATTTTGAATGTTTACTCCATGTGAAATATTATTCAAACGGTTTACATATATCAATGTCACAAATCCTCATAAAAAGCCTATGAGGCAGTTATCATTATTCTCTCCTATTCAAAATCAGTAAAGTGTGATACAGACAACTTGGCCATAATGTGCACAAAAATATACCCAGCAAGTAGTAGAGTCAGAATTCAAACTGAGTGTTACCCATTATTTTATAATAGAAGTATGATAAAATGCATTCTCAGTAACATCTCTTATGATAATGTTAGTATTTACATGCATATAACAGATACACCAGCTCAACAAATAATTAGAAAAATTATACATTTAAACTCTTGTCTCTACTTTCTCTATACATCTATTAATTAATTTTTGCAAGAAATTAAATGAAAATTTATAATTCATGTTCTTAATTTCTAAACCACTACCTACCAATGATACTACACAAGTTATTATAAATCAATACATAAATGTATTCTCAAAATTTATCAGCAAAAAGCTTAAATTTTAAAATTGTTATTGATAAAAAACATATATCCACTATCACAGATTAATAAGAGATTTCTGATAATACTTATATTTGTGTATTTCAAAATAGAAATTTAATATGGCTACTCTAATCAATAAATAACTGATTCTTATCTAACATCATAGTCAGCAAGCAATCTTTAATAAAATTGTAACAGTAGAAATGACATTTTTGAGGAAGATCAGTTAATGAAACAAAAGTTTCATCATTTAAATAATAAAAGCATATGAAGATGTCAGTTCATCACAACTTAGATGGTATGTTTCTAGGAAACAATTCTAGATAAAGATCAAGCACCTTACAAACCCTAAGCTAATATGAAGCACTTTTAAACAATTAGTTGCAATGGCAACCTTCACAGAAGATTTCTTAAATTAGTATACACAAACATGCTTTTTAACTAAATTTCTATTTGCAAACATTTATCTCATCTCCTATGTACGTCACAGTTATCTGTTAAATTTGTATTTTACCACAAAATTTTTATAATCCCCTATATATTGTAAATGTAACAATCCTACAGCTCAATTTGATTTTGTTATATAACAAGTCTTTTTTCTGGACAACAAGATTTCTCAAAGGGAAAAATATTATGAAATTCTCTTATCAACTTACTATAAATGTTTAACCAACTTCTAGTGATACTTTTACATTAGTAAATGAAAAGTATTTCTTTCAACTCAATATACTACAACACAATCAGAGATCAAAACTTAATAGTGTTTTGGTGCCTACAGGTTTTTACTTAATATTTAAATTTTAATTTCTCTATTAGAACAAAAAATTTTTTGATGTCCTTTCTCTTTTCTTGTATCATTCCATCAGCAAGTTCTTTTGGGATAAAATGCTTAAAATAACAATAAATGAAAATGTTGTGTTATCAATACTATTATTACTTAGAATAAGGAAGAATATAATAAAGAAGCTTCATATGAAAAAAAATTTCAATACAAGAACTTCAGTGGAACTATCAATCTGTCCTTTATGTCCCAAAGCATATGAATTGCATACCAGTGAACTACTGTATATATGATTCTGAATCAATCTCAAAACTGTACTCTCCAAAATGGCACATTATTAAAAAAAAATGAAGGGTTTACACCCAGATATAAGGATTAAAAAATCACAGGATGCTCTATACAACATGTGCTCATAATCTTTTATACAAATAAATTCTTGTTCAACAATTCTTGAATTTACAGAAGTTGTATGATATCTTCATTTAAAAGATATTCTGTAAGTCTGAATCTCATTTTTATCAAATTAGCCATTATTCCCCAGTAGAGAACACTAAATTAAACTAAATAGAAACATTCAATCCCATCAAGGTGACATGTACCAATGCCATCTCACTAGTCCCAGTGATCAATTTCTGTTCACAATTGATCATAATGATAGGACTAAGAACCAAAGGGATCACATAAACAAGAATAGTGTCTGCAAATACTAGCTGATAGAATCAAAAAGGGAGAGAAAGATCCAACATGGGAAGTGAGATACACAGCAGACCCATAGAATGGCAGATGTCCTAAACAGCACTCTGGCCTCAGAATCAGCCCTTAAGGCATGCGGATCCAGCTGAAATGCCCATGAGAGTATTTCAGGCATGGAAAGCCAAGACACTCTGGCAAAAAAAAAAAAAAAAAACAAAACACAACAACAACAACAACAACAAACCTAAATGAAAGATCTCTGCAAGTGAGATCCCAGAGATCCCAGTGGAAAGAACGGGTCATCAAAGAAGGAGGTACCTTTCTCTGAAGGGAGGAGAGAACTTCCACTTTGACCATGGCCTTGTCTAAATATGATCAGAATCAGTGAACTCAGGGGGCTTCCATAGCCTTGGCAGCTCATGACAAGAGCCTAGGGTGATTACCGATGCCATAAACAAGAGTGTCAATTTGTTAAGTCAACAACAGGAGTCACTGTGCACTTATTCCTCATGTAGGATCTTTGTCCTTAGTGTGCTGTACATTGAGATTTAATGCTATAACTAGTACTCAAACAGTATTTTTCACTTTATGTTTCTGTGTGGGAGCAAACTGTTGAAATCTTTACTTAATATATGCTAAACTGATCTTCTGTATATAAGGATAATTGAAAATGAATCTTGATGTGAATGGAAGGGGGGAGGGAGAGGGAAAGGGGATGGTCTTGGGTGGGAGGGAAGTTATGGGGGGGGGGGGAAGCCATTGTAATCCATAAGCTGTACTTTGGAAATTTATATTCATTAAATAAAAGTTAAAAAAAAAAGAAAAAAAAGAAACATAACACCTTGAAAACAATTAGAAATATTAATATATTCTCTGAGAATAAAATTACTGGAAAATCAATAAAATTAACAACATATTCTTTAGCCAATTGTTCATTTCATTCTGTTTTCTTTACCGTTTTCTTCCATAAATCTTAGTTAATTAAATATGTAAGTCAAAGTTTTAAGAAGTATTCTTTGGTATCTGAACTACTTTTAAGGATAAGATATGATATTGTAAAGAATTGTTAGCATGTTTTTATTTATGAATACATTTTTATATCAGAATATACATAACGCTGAAGATCCAAGGCCTCCATAATCAAGATTTCAAATTCTAAACTTATTTTCAAAAAATAATTGTGGTTATGGAATCATCATTCAAGATATCTTGTGAAGTATATCTAACCACACAGGGAATGAATTTGCAAGGAGCAATCAAAGATTTCAAAGCTATTGTTTCAAATAACTCCTAACAAGCATAAAAAATAAGTATCTGTATCTTGAAATATTGGGCAAATTTTATGTTCTATTCCATAGTATTCACATTTAATACAAAAATTTTCCCAAGAACTATCAAAGTACAATGGACATTTCCAAAAGATATAACTTGCTTATATTAAGGTTTTGAGTACCTCCTGTCATAGTTACATATATGCCAGATTGAAGAGCATGAAGTGGGATAATTTTGTACAGGGCTCATTCTATAAAAGTATAACATGTATATTACATAAAATATACTATTCATTTTTTGTTTTGTAGTTCTACTCTATTGAACTGATATTTTTTAAAAACTTTAGAAAAGCAAAATTAGTAATTATGTTCATCTAATACAAAAAGTTTGTCTTCTTCCATATTTTAGGTTTTCTATTAATAAAAAGGCAAAAATTCCATACATTTCCATTTGTCTATTTTAAATTACAATAGTTGTAACAAGTATAAATTCTATGGAGAGCATATAGAAGATACACGAAATTTTTAAACATTTAAATTATACTTTCCTGTCAACCCCATACCTGCTATCATGTCATCTACAGCACTCATTTTCAGCAATACTTGTTCAATTAGCCCAACTTCTGTGCTAGTCTGTAAATTTCGAACACTTTTTCGTAGAATCGCTGTAAACATGCTCCATATTTCTGCTTGACATGTTACATCACAGTGCTCCAAAAGTTCGGTCATGCATGTTATACTCTCAGCATCTTGGATAATAAAATTCATCTCCAAGTCAAATTCTCCACCAACCAGCTGAAAGTAAAGGGGAAAGAAACAATAACTAGTGATGATATAGGACTTTATTTATAAAAATAAAATAACAAAAGTTCAACTAACAAAAAAAATCATAGCAACTTTTTAAAAAAAAATCTCCAGTCTTTTGGTGTCAAACTAATTTTGATCCAAAGTTTAAGAGCTACAGACAATAAGAATTGAATGTAGAAAAAAAAATTTCTTTTCACAAAGATAGAAAATGGCAATATCAAAATCTAGGGAAACAGAAGAAACTGTAACATATGATTACTGGGTAGGATTCAGTACATATCAACCCTCTCCCATTTGTCAAAATACAGGATTTGGCCTTTAAAAGTGATAATCAGTGATAAAGATATAGAATTAAACTAGAATAAACTTGAAGACATGAAATTCTACTATTTTTATATATTTCTAGACATACAGATAAAAGACAGAGGTGTCACATAAAGAATAGTTGGGTCTAATCTCCATAGAAGATGAAGGAATACAAAACATCAACCAATAAAACATAAGTGTTAAACTGATGAATGAATGAATGTTAAAAAATTTAATCAGATCACATTATAATTATTATATTCAGTTAACATCACCATTCTTAGAAGAATGCTATCAAACTGGATATCTCTTCATCCAATGTAAGATTTAGGAATAAACTAAACATACACAAAACAACAAATTTGAAGACATTCATTCTTTTGATTATTCAACATGTTTTTGTTTATTAATGTTTAGAACTTATTGTACTAGAAACTAGAAAACATCCATGAACAAGCAAAAGTCCATTAACTAACAGTGCTAAGTTCTAGGAATAAAGATTTACATGTGTGTGTATATGTACATCCACCCTTATTCCAAAAATGCTGAAGCTAGCTTGCAAGCTGTATAAAACATAGGACATAAAATTTGTAGTTAAGAAACAGGAAGATATGGAAAAGCAAGATTAGAAACAGATGGGAAGTAGAATAAAGACCAGAAAGTAGAATTGATTTCCCATCACAGATGACTTCATAATATGATGACCTCATGGTATGTTGAGTCAGATTAATAAAAATAGTATCATTTGACCTTACATGGCATTTACTACTACTCAAAGTGCTTTACTCTGTTAGCAAGCTACTATTATCATATTATTGATGACGCATCATAGACACAGAACATTTAAGTACCTTGAAAAAGATAAAAAACAGGTGGACCTCTCTGGATCCAACTTCAAGCTGGTCTTAAAGTCCATACAGCAAGAAAACTTCATTTTAAAAGATTTTTAGAAAAACATTTGTCACAAACTTTGAAATTTGGAAATACTATATAAATCTGTAGTAGGTTGAAAATTCAATTTTATAAGCAATTAGCCTTTCTTCTAAACTTTTACCTTTGAACAGTTTATATCTCTGGATAAAGGGCCCTTTCACTTCGGTGTGTCAAATCACCCCAACTCCTTCTATGATTTCTGGTTTATTAGTGAAAATACCTATAACAGTGGTTAAGTCTGCTTCTGGCCGGTGCCACAGCTCAATAGGCTAATCCTCTGCCTGTGGCGCCGGCACCCTGGTTTTTAGTCCTGGTCGGGGCACCGGATTCTGTCCCGGTTGCCCCTCTTCCAGGCCAGCTCTCTGCTGTGACACCGGAGTGCAGTGGAGGATGGCCCAGGTGCTTGGGCCCTGCACCTGCATGGAAGACCAGGAGAAGCACCTGGCTCCTGGCTTCGGATCAGTGCGGTACCTTTGGAGGATGAACCAATGGAAAAGGAAGACCTTTCTGTCTCTCTCTCTCTCTCACTGTCTAACTCTGCCTGTCAAAAAAAAAAAAAATCAATTATGCAGACACTGTGCTAACAGAAGCAGATACTAAAAGTTATGCTTATCTGTAAAGCATGTGTGTATACTAAAATGTGAGAGCACTTTAGACTAATGTCCTCATCTGGCTATAATTGCTTTAGCAGAATCTGATATAACCAAGTACCATGCTGATATGTGTAACAGAGATGGACTCAGTGAAAAGAAAAAAAAAATGTCTGTTAACAAAATCTGCAATTTTAATAATCAGCTCTGTTATGTGAAGCCTAATATTCCATCTTTCACAGTAAAAAATATAATGCCTTCTCTATCATTATTTACAAAAGAGTACAATTAGAACTGGCATTGTGACATTATGGGGTTAAGCCAACACCTGTGATGACAGCATCCCACATGGGTACCGGTTGGAGACCAGCTGCTCCACTTCCCAGCAGCTCCCTGATGACGCGCCTAGGAAAACACTGGAAGATGGCCCAAGTGCTCGGGCCCCTGCACACATATAGGAGACCAAGAAGGAGCTCTGGCTCCTACTTTTGGCTGGCACAGCCCGGCTGTTGCAGCCTGCTGGGGAGAAAACCAGCAGATGGAAGAGCTCTCCTCTCTCTCTCCTTCATTCTCTCTTTGTAACTGTATTTTAAATACATAAATATAATATAAAAAAAGAAAGAATACAACTAAGGCTCATTGACAGAAACAGTAAAATTTTTTATTGTAAATATTTTCAATGTGTCTACATTTTCTACAAGTTTGATCTTACTAATCTTTATTATTACTTTAAAAAAAAAATATTTCATTTATTTATTTATTTATTTAAGAGGCAGAGCTGCACACATAGAGACAGAAGGGTCTTCCATCACTCCCCAAATGCTTGTAACAGCTGGAGCTAGGCCAATACAAAGCCAGGAACCAGCAGACTCTTCTGAGTATCCCATGTGGGTGCCGGAGCCCAAGCACCTGGGTCATCCTCTTCTGCTTTTCCAGCCATAGCGGACAGCCGGATCGGAAGAGGAGCAGCCAGGACACAAACTGGCACCCATATGGGATGATGGCGTCACAAGTGGAGGCTCAGCCTACTAGGTCCTTTATTACTAATTTTAATATATCCATGTAAGAGGCTTACTGCTATATAAAACTGTCATGACAAGATAAATAAGAGTTTCCCCTACTTGTAACAAGTGATTCAATATGTGGGAATAACTAAACATAACAGAAAAAAAATAAAAAGTTGACTTTTATTCTTTGAACAATTACCTGTAAAGAATCATATATAGAAAAGGCATCAGAGAAGGAAACTGAAAATAAATAAGACTGAACAACATGTCATACACAGAAATAACAAAGTGACATCCATAATTCTAATTTAGAATGGAAAATGCACTTTGTTATGAAGACAGAGGTGTAGAATTAGGAAGCAATAGAGATGAAATTATTAATGTAGTTCTATGACAGATAAAATGTGGAAAGACAATGATTTCTAAAAGAAATGAAATGCCTGAAGAAAGTAAATTATAATGAAAAAGCCAATTTGTTAAAAGATATTTCAGCAAGCAAGCAGCAGATTTTAAAGGCTAAATTAAAGCAGAATTAGCAAAAAAAAAAAAACCTGAAAACTCATGGAAAACATTTTGGAAAGCAAGAAAGTGACACAGCAATGTCAAAAAAGCTAAATCTTAAATAAGGCTCAATACCAAAAGTTATCTTGATTATACCAAACTTTGCAATCTTGAAAGTGTTCATAAATTGCACTTTTTCATCTTGAGTAAAGAACACCAGTGTGGACTACCCTTGCAGTGGTAATATCCTTCAGAATTTTTAGGAAAAAACGTAGAGGGAAAGAACACTCAACTATGCAAATAGAATGTTACGGCAGAACATTCAGAAATCACAACTGACTTATCAACCATTTTTATATCATAGTAGAGTGATTCAAATATTGAATATAATTTTTTAGACTAAGATTCTAAACCAATGGGAACCACGTTAACACTGGTATAACCAAAATGCTTTTGATATTTAGCTTTGTTTTAGATTTCGCATTTTCAACTTTGTTGCATCACTTCTGCTTTTCAAAACAGAATGAAAAATTCCCTTTGTCCTACCCAACTCAAAGCTTCTCCAGAACTGGGATACTATTGATGAAAGCATTTAAAAAATACAGAATTGGCTTCAGCAGTCTAGGGCAAGAGACAGTACTTGGATAAGCAATGAATATTCTTGGATTCCTGGGAAGGAAGAAGTAGAGAAAGATACTAAGTAAAAGTCCTTTAAAAGTTCCCATGTATACAAGACAACTGAGAAAGCACAAGTCAGTTTTCATTTAATAAGGCCCTAAGCTTTCATCTCTAGTTGGCCTTAGGCTCTGTATAAGTAGGAATTAAAGGCTAAGGCAGAGTTGCAAACCGCCTAAATACTAAAGGTGTGCCCCAACACACAGTCCATCTGCAAAAACCTGGGAGTATGTTTTAAAGTTTTATTGTCTTCATTTTTTGGGTCCAGGCATTAAGGTAATTGTCAAACATCACTACACACCAAAATAAAAGAACACACACTTGAATGGTTGTATATAATACAGAATAAAGATCTTACAAAAAATAGTTAAGAAACAACAATAATGCACAACAAATACCAGTGAAGAAGGAAGGAGATCTGATTTCTAGAGAATCTATACCATAACACTTAAAAATACAGTTTCAAACAACAACAACAACAACAAAACTAGAAGACATGAAAATAAACATGGCCAAAATACAGAAGAAAGGAAAGTTAATAACTATGGGTTCCATATGGAAGCCTAGGCACCCCTTAGACTTACTGGACACAAAATTTATTTATTTATTTATTAAAGATTTATTCGTTTATTTGAAAGTCAGAGTTACACAGAGAGAAGGACAGGCAGAGAGGTCTTCCATCTGCTGGTTCACTCCCCAGTTAGCCAAAACGGCTGCTACCATGCTGATCCAAAGCCAGAAGCCAGGAGCTTTCTTCTGGTTCTCCTGTGAGGGTACAGGGGCCCAAGTACTGGGGCCATTTCCTACTGCTTTCCCAGACCATAGCAGAGAGCTGGATTGGAAGTGGAGCAGCCAGGTCTTGAACCGGCACCCATATGGGATGCCAGTACTGCAGGCAGCTTTACCCACTACACCACAGCGCTGGCCCCTGTATAGCAAATTTACATCAACCATCTTAAATAGAGCTAAGACTGAA